TAAAAAAAAACTGTGCCTATGTATTTTTAATATTTTTCAACTGATATTGTAACAATATATCAGGAGCCTTGTATTCAATTTTTACACTTTTTGGCCAAACAGATAAAACTTTATTGATATTTATAGAAAAAAAAACTAAAAAAAATTGAAAGCTGTAAATGTCCATAAACAGCTCAAAAAGAGTCAAAATATTTTCAAAATTGTATGGTGTATAGGAAATGTTAATATAAACATTCAGTGAAATTTTCATGTATCTACAGTTATTCGTTTTTGAATTACAACAAAATAAGGAAATCGCTACATGAGAAATCGAGTGAAAATCCAATGTTGTAAAAATTTGAATTTCAAACGCTCATAAAAATTTAATTTGACTGTCCGGTAGAGATTTTTTTATTGATAAAGGTAGATAATCTTATAAGGAATCTTGTGTTTCATTTTAAAATCTTAGATTTAAAAAGAAAAATTTTTACGAATTCTTAACTCAAAATAATTTGCTAATTTTCGTGATTTTTCCATATTTTGTCAATTTTTGAACTTTAAATGCTTATAAAAAAAAATTGTGAATAAGGATTTTTAATATTTTTCATCTGCCTTTGAAACAACATATTAGGAGCCTTCTATTAAATTTTCAAGCTTTCGCAACCAACAAATAAAATTTTATTGATATTTTTAGAAAAAAAACTAAAAAAAAATGGAAAATGAAAATGTCCCTAAACAGTTCAAAATAAATCAAAATATTTTGAAAATGTTATCGTGTATAGAAAATGCAAATATTAACAACCAGTGAAAATTTCATGTATATACGTTCATTTGTTTTAGAGTTACACCAATAACCAAAATCGATTTTTTGGAAAACCAATTTTGCGTAAAAATTCCCGTTTTTCCTTAATTTTTATGTTGTTTTTCCCGGCGCTTGTGAAAACTACTGGGAAATGTTTACTTTTGACCCCCCAAAGTACCAACTAGATTCACTTTCCTATCAGAAAAGGTACTATTGAAGAAAATCGAAGCACTTTTACTGTCCTAAAACGTGATGACAGACACAAAAATATAAAAATATAAAAACATACATCATTGTAAAACCAATACATTCATCGCTCCGCTCAGAATCTAAAATGATTATATACACAATAATATTTTTTTTATTATTATTTTTTAAGGCTTCGACAACTGAGGTCATTAGCCTGACGGTTGGTAAGGTTGGTACAGTAGGGTTGGAACAGTTGGTACAGTAGGGTTGGAACACGTGAATGTTTGGCAGAATTTCTATTGGGGCACCCGTAGGTTTCTGCCATGCCCCGGAGTGGGGGATGGCGGCACTTGTTCTCCGGACACCGTGACTTGCCCGGAGAAAAATGCCGCCCAGTGGTCGAGGATCGAACCCGAACCGGCAGCGCCGTAGCCGACGCGTTGACCGCTCGGCCACCTCGTCCCCCACACAATAATATTATTATTAATCGACGAACGATTGACTAATTCATAGTATAATTACATATCATAACAAGTATAATTATTATTTGTAAATTATATCTTATGGACTTTTTAAGATATTTTAATATCTTAAATTTTAAACTCATATTGTTTTTACTTACCATATAATACAAAATACAAATTATAATCATATTACATATTATGGAAACTAACGTATTTATAGGTTCGTCCTGGTCCCTGGAAAACGAATTTTTTGATTTCTTACTTTTTTTACAGACTCATTGGGACGTAGTTGAACTCATTTGAACATAATTGAACCACTAATAAAATAATATTGTTGTGAATATATTATATAATATGATAAAAACAATTTCAAAGTTGAGGTATTTAAATGTCGATTACACTTAACGACTTAACACTCTATAAGAAATTTATGATAGTTGATCCTAAAGTTCAAGCTTATTTTTTACTTTTCATGACTGTTTATTAACCTAACCTATTTATCTGATCCACTACATATTGATAACAATTTTAATCTTCCACCGAAAATACGGGTGGTGAAATTAAATTTCGATTTTACACTGCACGACGATCATACTTTCCACTGTTCAACATTTTAAATACAATTTAAAGTAAATCGACGTTTAGAAATGTTAACTATAATCCGGTAGAAATGAGGTTTCTTTTCCAACAAATATTATAGATTACAAATATATTTTAATGGAAATTATTGAAAATAAAAGTAAATATCAATAGGTAGGTAAATGTGAAAAATAAATGAAAATGAAAATTTTATTATTATTATTATACTATATGTATAATTAGTAATTTCTATTATATTTAATCATATTCAATAATCGAAATTACAGGCCTGTGATAACTGAAATATGATACGTATGTTGGTGATGTAACTTTTTCCAAATATTTTGAAAATACTGCACCGATAGTATGGCGTCATTTGTCGTTGTAGATGTTGCTGGATTGTTTATCATATCCATGTGTAAATTCAATGTGTCCATAAGGAAAGTCTTAAAAGTTTCCGATTTCTCATCATTGAAATTGATGCTAAAGTCACCAAATTGTTATAATTTACAAATTATAATAGCTATATAAGTGCATAATATGCAGATCTTATTACCTACGCAGTTTCAAATTCTCGTGTTATATCCGTTTTCTATTACCTAGTCTTTACCAAACGAGACGCACGAAAAAATGTAATCACCGCAAAGGTAAACCACTATATCGAGCCCTATTAGGTAAAAGGGCGTAATAAGCGACATTTTCATTTTTTTACAGGAACTAAAAAAAAACACTTTTAAATTCGAATAGGTATCTGATGGATTTTCATGAAAATCAGATGTGTATAGTTATAAAAAAATTATTTCGAAAATACAATTACAGAATAAAAATGATATTTTTAATATTGTGTAACTTATGTCGCTCACAATAAAATAAATGTTCGAATATAGCTCAATGGTGCTTACACTTTTCACTTTCGGCGCTTACAACAGACATTTTGTCGTGTTGATTAGTGCATGGCGCTTACACTACTCCTGGCAACAAAGTCACTTACGTGTTTTTTTCGGAATTAATGTGACTTACGATCAATTTTGAAGTTATTTAAACGACATGTCGCTTTTGCCCAATCTTTAAATGGCAAAATGACACGCTTAGGTTTATATTGTCGCTTAGCCATTTTACAGATCGATGAGTCTGAATTTTAGAAAAATGTTGATACCAATATCTTATTTTCGCCAAAATTTTCGCTTACGTCCATTTACCTAATATGGCTCGACATAGGGATATAATATGCAACAATCAGATTATTCTACGAAAACAATTCCATGAAATAAAAATGTTTATGCGTCATGCAAGGAGATTATAATACCTGTATATAAGATGTAACCAAAAGTTTATGTATTTTAAGGACCTTGGTATAGATTACTGTCTGGTTGTGCATGGAATACCCGTGATATAACAAGCCCAGCACTTTTGAGGATTTCCACTTTTTCGCCAGGCACTGTGGGGATTCCCACTTCACGGCTGGCCGGACGGAAAAATGTCGCTTTCCGACGCTTCAACCGCAGTCGAAAACCAAATTTTCGGTTTAAAAATATATTACCTACGTACGATTCAATACTTATACATATATACTTATTACTTATATATTTTATCAATTACAATAATTATAAATGCATAATATACGTAGTGTAGCGATATACTGCAGAAATATTATCAATATACGCAAGATATAATATATTATAATCAATCTACAACCCTCACTACAACTTACCGCTCCAGCTTTTTTTTGCTTGTTCCATCCTACCGATCGATCTAATAATGCGATAATATTTCTGAAAACTGATCTGAATTCGTTAGAATGATTTCTATTAGAGTTCAGCCAGTCCACATTTTAGATTTCTACTTTAAATTCCGAATAAATCCAGAATAACCAACGTTTGAAAATTCCAAAATTTCAAAATATTCAAGCTAAATTTTTAGTGGTTGGGGGGGGGGGGGGTAAATTGGGAAAATTGGACTGACCAATCTCAAGTAGACATAATAACGAATTAAAATCTGTTTTTAAAAAGTATTAGATCAGCATGATCAGCATGTTATTAGATCAGCATGATGGAATGAAAATTGGATGTTTTGGCCAAAATAACTGTTTAATGAGTTCCGCTTAATGTGATCATTGGTTTATAGAATCAACCGTTTATTGGAATCAAAAATGAAAATCCCCAACCAAATATTATATTGATAAAAATATGCTTTATGGAATCAACTGGTTAATAGAATCAAAATGGCCTGAACCAATGTGATCACATTAAGCGGTACTCTTTTTTATTATAAAAAATAGTATTTCGTCAGGAACTTTTTTTCCCGACTTTCCCCGCATCGTGCCTTAAAAACTTCGTTTCAAAAGGATCATGTTTTTGAAAATGTTTTTAGTTGAACGGAAAAAAGTCTAATATATTGCAGTCTTAGTTCATGATCATATTATAATATAGTCTTTGATATAGGTAATGTTAGGTTAGGTTATTACCAGGTTAGTAATAAATTACTCTATGGGTTATACTGGTGCAGTACTGCGCAAAGCTAAAGCTAAGCTAAGCAAAGCTAAGAAACGATTGTCGAGAAAACAGAGGATTTCTAGTCGATACGTATCAGTATTTTATTATAATTTATTGTTATCGTTGGTACGATATAGGTAGGCAGGTACATAATAATACATTTTATTTATATTATGATATAATACTAATGACTAAAACAATTTGTTTTCATCTAAATTACAAATTATTGCCATCGCCATTCAGGCGCGCATTTGGTAAACTTAAAACTATAATATTATATAATTATTAAATGCATGTCGCGTGCAACACGGTTTCCAGTGCATCGCGTCTTATAACATTATATATATATATATATATATAGGCTGGAAACCAGTGCAAACTGCAGCTGCAGCGTCGGTGGTCGTCGACCATCGTAAAACCCATTACGCTATCGAACGATGGACGACGACGCGTGATCGACGGACATCGTTGACAAAACCTTGACACGGCGCCGCGTCATCGTCTCCGCGAGTAACCGGCCGGATACGCCTGCACCGGTTGGAACGGTTGCTGCAATCGTTGGTGGTGGTAACCGCCGCCGCCAGCACCGGAAGCTTGCTGCTCGCCGTATCGCTGCTGCCGGTCGTACAAGATGTCCCTGACCGCCTGCTGTTCCCGGCGCTCATCCTGCCTGCCGTCCAGCCCCAGGCCGATGCGTTCGATCAGCCTCTCGGACTTGTCGCCGTGCAGCGCGACGAACTCGTGTGTCCGGCGGGCGCTCACGTCCGGGTCGAACGGCCACGACTGTTGCTTGTGGAATTGGGCCGAGCCCAACACGTTGTTCTGGATGAGCCCGACGATGCCCGCGTGCGCCGCTGGAGCCTGCAGCAGCATCGCTATGGCGGCAAACGCCTGCAGAACAATTACAACAACAATAGTGATATTAATAATATTGTATTGTGATATTTTTCTTTATTATATTATTTAGTACTAGAGCTTAATCCGTACACTTCGTTTCCCGAAAAAAATCGCGACTCTTAAAAAAAATTATGATTGTTCAACTCCTTTTGGGTGTAACTTGCTGCAGTAAGTGCAACTCAGCCACCCTTGGTCACGGCTTATTGGACTCGCTTCGGGATGACTTGCAGAGCATTTGAATCCATTCACCGCGGAATTAGTATGAATTCAAGGCGAAAGTGAAAAGAATAAAAAAGATATTTATATAATATATTATGCATAAACAATTAAATTTGGCCATGTACTCGTAAGTAATGTTCTCATTATTCTCGTGTAGGTAACTATAGAGTTGTATTTCAAAAGTATATATTGTCATTCATAAACGAAAAAAACATGACAATATTTATCACGACAAAAAAGAAAAAGAATGATTTTTTCTTTGAAAAATCGCAGGTATTGTAAAGACTTCAAATAAAAAATAAAAAATATTTTCAAAAACGTTAAATAGGTACTTTCGATGTGTAGCGTCAAAGTACTATAGTATAATAATCATCAAAATATTAGATGCAATAAATCCGGGAAAATGGACTAAACAGTATGGGAATATTGACCTCATCAAACAGTTTAGTGAATCCAATAGATAAACATTGTCCTATGTGTTTGTATAGTGCGATATTGAGATGCAAATATTTGTAAATATTGAGACCAGTCTGTTTGAATCCAATGGGTGAATGAGTCAACTAACTGTGAGTCCAATAAGCGACGACTACTGAATATTATTTTATCTCGCATACGATTATTAGCAGGAGTTAAGTTAATGTGTTCAATCTTGTCGAGTCGTATTAAACGCTAGATGGGTAATTTAGGAATTCTCTTGGGGTGACAGGAATCAATACATAAGAAATTTAATTTTGGATATCTCAAGATTATATTCGATCATTTTTAGGGACATGGTACTTAGGTATAGAATATATATATATTTATTTGTTCGTTGACTTTGTGTAATTTTTTACTATTGTGCAACAAACGAAGCAACTGAGGTGGAAGTAACAAGATCGTGTTTTCCGCCTCAGTTGTGGTTCCATAAGAAAAGAAAAAAGGAGCGTGGTTGCATACACATTTTAGCGTTTTTTAGTGTACGAACTTTTACGAGCCATGGTTATTAGGCATTACGGTAGCTACTCAGGACTTAAGGTGACTGCATATACAAGATACGGGATTGTCATTTTTCCAGAATTACGTCAGGCCGTTGTGCCGAAAAATCCCCGAAAACTGTAATTACTATAACTGCAGTAAGGTCTTGTAACGTGTTGTACGCGTATCAATTTGTACATAAGTATACTGTTTCTTTCCCGTTTTTTATTTGAAAATAATGGAAAAAATCTGCCCCCCCCCCACATCTGTCTTGTTTTCAAAAACGTTGAAGCATTTCGAGATAAACGAGTGTTTACATTGCCAAAAGAATCTCTTTGTATAATATTATATTAAACTCGATTGTGTATAATGTGTACAATCTGCGCACAATTATTATATGACGAAATAGGACCTATATATACCATATAGGTACGTGGTACGCAGTGATCGAAACAATAGCCAATTTTATATTACATAATTATTATTATATTATTATACTGTGCTCTTGGCCTCGTGCTCGAAATCAATTCTATAAATTGCCATCCCATTCAACAGTTTTCAAAAGATATCTCCTACGATAATTAAACGACACTTCACTCGCCACTACCATTGCCACCCCAACAAAACAATTGTTCACGCTCGTACATCCATTAATCAACTTTAGAGGATTAACTGCAGAGCTAGTACCCACTACCCACATTATATGAATACATATTATATATATATGTATTTATCAGTCTGCAGAACAATAGTCATTAATAATTACATAGGTATAGTAAGTTAATTAAATTTGTCAGTTCTTTCTGTTGCACCCGGTACACAAATTGTCAGTTCTAATTATAGGTAAACACTAATCTAAATTATAACAACCACCTCATAGTACATCTAATAATTAAATACAAATAATTATCGGTATAGTGTATATACAGGGTGTCCCGTGAGGATTTACTCATTAGCCGTAGAGGGGGACTCGCCGCCCGGACAAAAACCAGTTTATTGACGTTTTACTAATAAACTAAAAAAATTATTAAAAATCATGAGATTAATGAAAATAAAATGTTAAAAGCTCAAAATGTTCACAAAAATATACTCTATAGAATGGCTATCTTCAATTTTTTCAAAAATAAAAAAATAAAAAATAATTTTTTTAACTTTTTTACTAAAAAATTTAATTTAATTAAAAAATAAAATATTTGTAGTGCTTACCTCTGCGAGTCTTAATAAAAAACATAATTACGATATCTCCATTATTTCAGGAGATACTCAGGTGAGAGTACTTACTCACGTGAGTAAATCCTCACGGGACACCCTGTATATTCTATATTATATACAGGGTGATTCGCCCTGAGTGCTTATTGCTTACCTATTTTTTATCATCGAATATCGCGTTTATTCAAAATTCAAATTTTTATCTTAGCAATTTTCTAGTCTACTTAAATACTCTATTTTCAAATACTTATAGAGTTGTTTACCGTTTAAAGAGTGACTTGATTCCTGTGGCTCCAAGTTCCGACTTATTTTTTAGGGTTTCGTATAGGTCCCATATAGACTCATCACCCATCTCAGAATCGACTGAATCTTTCTTTCAAACCTTAAAAGTATTGCTCTGTCACACATTGTTGTTGACTAGGTATGTTTCACATTTATGTATATGGTGATTGGACGAAGATAAGTATAGTACCTATACAGAGTTTTATTTAGGATTCTTTTGATATTTTGCCGTTATTCTGAGATTTATCACAATATTAAGTATATTATTATTAGAGTTTATATTCACATTTCACACTCGAGTAATTAAAGTTATTCACCTGTCCAAAAGTGTTTTGTCATACACTCTTACTTACATAAAAAACGTTGTTTGTCGATAAAACGTCTGTACATAATAATGTACTTTGTTTTATCATCATTTCTGCCCTATTCGTTGGCTAGCTACTATATTAACTTAGGTGTATTTGGAGTTGTCTGTTCTTAGGATTCTCCCAGGTTCTGTTCCCAACTAGTTATATATGGACCTGTTGTCTTTCACACCTCTTACCACTTGATATAATGCCAAGTTAAGTAGTACTGGAGACTATTCGTTAAACACTAACTCACCTAACTGAGCTAAAATAGTTGTAGGAAGGTGGGGGACATTTTTTTTACCATCAAATGCCATCGTAAATCGTAATAATATTATTTATTTTAGGTTTTGCTACTATAGTGTCACTTTATAAAATTATGTATAATACTTAATACACTTATATACCTATCCATGGCCGGGATGCCATATATTATTATTTATTATTATCCATTTATTTGAGTACCTATAATAATGCTTTTTGAATTGTATTGTACAGGTATACTTATTATGTCAAGCAAATGGTATTTTTTCTTCACCAAAACCATTACTTATTGAAATGTGTCGAATTTTCATTCTGAATTTTTGTTTTTATTACTTACGAGTATACATTTTATATTGTAGGTACTTATGCTATTATTATATTATCTTATCGAACGTGTATAGGTAAGCTGGTAGATAATTTTCGGTCGCTATTATTTATGCATTTTCGGACACTATGTTACACATATAAATTATAATATACGACGGGTCTACTGTCGGGTATAGCCGTATAGGTATATTATCATACTACATTTATTATGGACTCTATTATAGAGATCAGAATTTTTTTTATTCACATATTACATGCATTCATTCATTTTTGAGCTTGTCGCCGAATAATACATTATAGTCCGATGTTATCTTAATGTATGCTGCTGTCATCGGATTTCCCATTGCATTGCGTTGAGAAAATTTCTTATAATATTGATCACCTACAATTGTATAGGTACACGTGTTCGTGTTTAAGTCGGTGGGGACGATCATGCGAACGGGAGAACATTGACCTAAGTCTTTTTGAAAATAATACTAAAAAAAAATAAAAGTGTAATCGGTAGTTAGTTTTTTTTTTTTTTTGAACCTGTTATGGCGTAATATCAATATCGTTGATAAAAAAAAAACCGGTTGTTTCACGTTTTAATTGAATTATTTCCGAGTTCATGGGTGTTATTCCGAAAAACTCGTACTCGAAACCAAAATCTATAAACTTCTTTTAGGCAAGTTACATATAGGTAGGTAACATGAATTATTTGGCAGGTTTTTGTTTACAATCGAATATTGAGTATATGAACAATTATTTGTTATGTTATACATTATGCTGACAACAATAGGAGGTGTCCATATGAGATTAACTATTAATATCAAAATCAAAAATGTTTATAAGTTGTTTGTTTCTTATCAAAACGCGTTTAAAACCTGCACTTCCTACAGTGTCATAACTGTCCATAAGTTATGTATAGGTACCTATTACAGTAGGAAGATGATCATTTGCGTCAGAGCATGTAATTGAAAATCGGATAAATGGTAATTTGCATCAAAACTAAAACAATTCGAATTGTTTTTAATTATAAATTCATACGTCCCTAGTCATGGTACAGTTTATAAATTATACATTTATGTAATATAATGCATAATTGTCTCCAATTGCAGCCCATATTTTAAAACTTAAATAGCTTTATTTAAATGTTTAATGGAAATTAATGAACGATTTGACTTTTAAAATATTTACTTTACATAAATTGACCTCCAAAATTATAAAATAATTAAATACACGGACGTATTACTGTAATGTAAGAATTACATTAAATCAGATTTCAAGAACGTTATTGAGAAAACGTGGTTGTTGGTGACAAACACGATGAACCATCCTGGGTGTTTAATGTTTATATTATTTTTATACGCATTTGTCATAATATACGTATCATGGACATATTATAAATTATTAATGAAAAACGTCTATGGTTAATTTTATTATATTGAAGGTAATTTCAATCTAATATAGACCTTTAAAATGGCCATCTTATACATAAGTAAATATTTTTATAGTTTTATAAACGTTTACAGTGACCGTCACATAATATATCAACATATCGTGCTTAACGCAGTTAACCTACAGTAACTAAAAATTCCGATTTACACGTACACGTTATATAATGTAGTATATTACACCTAATTAGATAACTTATTCGATTTTTCTAAATTATAAATTTAAATACTATGTTCAATTTATTATTGAGAAATGTTTTCAACAGACATATAATAGTTTTAATGCATTCATTTAAGTAATTATAATTTGATATTGATTCCATTATAAGATTTTATAATAATATATACTTATAATACTTAAAAGTTAGTTTCGAGTTTATCTAGAAAAATATTAAAACATTTAAAACAGTTATACAAGCCCGACGAAAATGTAAAGGAGGTACTATAGTTTTCATAAGTAACCAATAGCTCAATTAACCTATACCTACCCATTAAAATGTAATAGATTAAATACGAACTCGATAATGTAAACTGTGTCATAATAATATTTATAAATAATTATTAGTTACTTAATACTTTCTAATGTACGACAGCGTTTTGATCGACATTATGACTAAGAGTAATACATGTTTGGATATTAATTTGTGTACCCGCTGTATATGATGTACAATTCTTAAAACAATTTAAATTTATGAAATACCTATGTAGATTGTAGATATAACTAATGTCTAATAAAGAAAGGACTTCGGATGTTTTTAAGAATTGTAAGATTAAATAGACAATCTGTTATGGAACCGATTGCTGGCCATTATTAAAATACTCGTTTTGCTAGCAAGATGCGATTAAAAATGTGCCTATACATTTCTATAGAAATGTGAAATTCAAATTACAACTGTTTTATACTTTTTATAAACGTGTAGCTATAAAAATATATTTTGCGATGTTAAGGGTTTAATGTATAGAGGTAGTCCAAATGTCTAATTTTATAGTGATTTGATCTCATATCACCCCGCGACGGATTATCAGCCGAACGTAATCACTAACCGCCAATATTCGCGTTTGACATCTAAACTAAAGGACATCTGGACATCTCATCTAAAACGTCTAAAGCTTAAAGATGGTATTTCATAATTCACTCTTATTTATTTTATATTATTTAAAATTGTTTACATGCTATGAAATAAAAAAAAAAACGACGACCACGTGCGTTGAACGTACCTATAATAATAGTTAGTGTTTGAAGTATGAGAAATATTTCATGAAATTCTAAGTTGTGAAATATTTCACAAAAACATGAAACATTGAAATTTTTTTTAACACAAATAAAAACACAATTTATTTATTTTTTTAACACAATGTTCAGTGTTCTAAATTCTAATGTCAGAATTCAGTAAGTATACAATATACATGTATAATATTGTATACCTACTTGTATCATTTAAACATTAAAATATTTAAAAATTTTGAATACCAATTTAAATGTATAATACCAAAGGTTAGGTATACATACAGGTACCATATAGTGATGGAGGTAATTTATGACAATTATATGTAAATATAAAACTTATTTAAAAATAAAACAAAATATATTAAAATACTGAAATATTTCACATATTTTGAATTATTTCATGAAATTTTCAAACACTAATAATAGTGCATAAGATGACATTTGTTGAATTTTAGGACACGAGTATAATCAGCGTTACAAAATAATAAAAATCACAACATTTTTTTAATATTATATCGTGAAAAACGTGTCGATAAAAATACATACAACTCGTGACATTTCGATTGCGCTTCTGAGAGAGGAGACGACGAAAATTCAGGGAAAATTCCGTACAACGAACTTCCGTTTAACTACATTTTCGGTTTAACGAAATATTTTTGGGAACCGAATTTGTTCGTTTAACCAAATTTATTCAAATCATCTCTATAACACGAATTTTTTTTTTTTTTTGATTTCGATTTCGTTATACATCGGAAGTTTCACAGTATTATTGGTATTTTTTTTTGTAAACCGTTTTCGGGGTGACTTAAAAGTAAGGGGGAACAAACAATAACCGTGTATCGGACTCACCGTCAGCAGAACCGGGGTCGGGTGCATCGTCGGAGACGCAGTGGCGGCGGCGGCGGCGGAGTGCATGATGCTGATAATATAATATTACGAGTCTGCCCGCACGTGTAACACTGATACGAACGCGAGCGATAATAATAATATTACGACGATCTCATCGGACGTTGTTGTTGCGGACGGGATCGAGATCGAGAAGAGGGCGCTCGTTCGTAATGATAATAATATAATATGTGTGGTACCAGTGAATGTGAGCCAGTGGGTCAAGTCGGCATCGACGACGGTCGATCGGAATGAGCGAGAGAGAGAGAGAGCGAGGGAGGGCGAGGTAGAGAGCGAGTGAGAGGGTTAGAGACAACGAAAATAATGACGACAATAATAATAATATATTACCACTCTCGCCTTGCGACACACCGACTATATAATACACATGCTCGACGGCCGACTACGGTGTATAGTAATAATTATTAGACGTTACGCAATTATTGTAGTTTTATTTCTTGTGCCTCGCGTGTACGCCGGCGGTATGCGAACGGCGTTTATAATAATATATTTTGCTGTTTAGTAATTATGGTATCGCCACCGCAGTCGGACCCGCTCGTCGGCCTGGCTATATTGCAGGTTTTCCCGGTGAGGGAGGGGCAAAGGCGCGTGCGATACCGTTCGAAAAGGATTTAAGGTATCCGTGGCACCCACTGCTACTGGGGTTTAGTAAGTTCCCACACGAAACATGGCAGGTAAGCGGGTACATAATATGTAAGTTCCCACACAAAAAAAATTACACCCTCACGTGAGTTCACACACGAAAATTTATTCAGACTTAGGACTGACAACTTAAACGTAGTTGGTCCAAATGTATAATAAAAATGAATAATACAATGTGTAGGTCCACATATAGTTTGTACTTTCGCAAGCGTTTGTATGGTAAGACTTGTTCAGGACTAGCACTGGCCCAAATACTAGGGGGGAAACTATATCAATAACAACATATCAGATTATAACTTAAAAATAATAACACAGTATGACTATATGTGAAGTGTTTGAGCTTTCGCAATAAGCCAAATAAAATTTAATTTTTTCTATTACTATTATTATAATTATTATACCTAATTATTATTATTTTATACCTATATAAATAATATGTGAACCATACCATTAACTTTTATTATATATTTGGACTAGATTAAATTAAAAAATTGATTGTACTTTTTTTATACAACACAAAAACAAACAAATTTTAACCACATCAACTACATTTAAGTTGTCAGTCCTAAGCCTGAATAAAGTGGGAAGGAAGTTTGTATTCGGTGTAGTTTTTTTTTTCAAATGGGAACTTACTTATTCATACCCGGGTGTTATTTTTACCTGCTATATCTCGTGTTGGAACTTACATTCAACCCTGCTACAGTGGTGGAGGTAAAACCCTATTGTCTTGCATCGGTAAATCGCAGTGTCCGGCCGCATTTTACCGACACAGCTACCACTACCACTGAATGTTGGGGGGAGGGGAACCTTTGTTGTATAGACTCTTGTGTGGTGGTACTCTATACTTTGGCACTTCGCGGACAGACGCTCCATATATAGGTCTGTATGTCATATACCTCTATTAAGGATATCGTGGCGGGAGGTGTTGGCCGAGAGGGTGAGAGTTGAAAGATGAATAAGTCTCATCACGATTTCTTATCGAGTCCGTGGCGTGGCGTTCTCGATCGATCGGCTTAATAAATATTTAGTGAGTACCATATTATTATTGTCTTATAGGCAAACTGTGTTGGTATTATACTATTATATAATATTGGTTAGGTCACGAACGAAATACATTATTATTCCGACTCCCAAAATGTGCGCATGTCGCGCATGTCGCGCTTAACGTTATCCGTATCGCACAACTGTTTCAGAGGTACCCAAGAAATGTAATAATATATATTATAATATTATTGTAACAAACGATAATATTACAATAATTTTGATTTTACTTACTATTAACAGTTTCAAATCGGCAGTGTCGTCGTCAGATTTTACCTATAATATATTTGTATTGAGGTACCGTACCTAAATACTCGTGTACAGATTCTATGCATCATTAACGAAAAAAAAAAACATACATTTATAATATACATGATTGTGTTCTATTAACAATACAAAATATTAAAATCATCTTGCATACTATATTGTGTAGATATATAGGTAGTGTTTGAAAATTTCATGAAATATTAACTATACCTAACCTTTTGTTCACTTATGTTTTTCTTTCTAATACCTATATAACTGTTGAGCTATACTAATTTAAGTGTTGGAAGCTAAATAATTGATAAATAATAAAATAACCATCATTAATATTTTAATTAAAAAAAAATTCAATGTTTCACGTTTTTGTGAAATATTTCATACTTCAAACACTATATAGAGGCTTAGGTACTATAGTAGACCAGCGGTTCTCGATTTTATTGATGCCGTGGTCCCCTGTAATGTCACCGACATTTTTTGGCGATCTTTTTATTATGATAGCATTAAAAAGTGTACCTATCTAATGATGATCATAAAAAAATTAATGGAGACCCCCAGTTTGAAAATCGCTGCCATGTATGGTTAATTCACAGCCCCACGACATGTCAAGAATGAAATTATTTAAGTGTAGCTGCAGCAGCTGCGCAGGAGTATGTCATGGTACTATCGTAGTATTGGCTACAACATGTTTGGGCATTTTATCCCGAATTGCGACACGTTTGGGCACAAAATCACAACAAGTTTGGGAACTTTATATCCCTAAAAAGATACCAAGTTTGGGCACTAAAATTTAAAATGTATATACCTTTGTTTAAAATGTATATAAAATATGTACATAAACATGCATATAATATCCTACGATTTGTTGTGTAAAAACACCTCAGGTGAACCTCGGTTTTCCTCAAAAATTTCCTGAAACTTACCGTTCAAAAGTTATGGAAGTTCAAAGTTGCAGTGATTACGTGTGTATCGGCACTCGTCGCTGCGCTCCGCAATTCGAAAATATCCCTCGACTTGCTATGCGACACCACCTTAAGTAGGTTACAGGGTAAGTTATGTCGTAGTATATGGGCAGTGATTACACAGTTAGCAGCACTCTTTATACAACTTGTTACCTATATTATTTTGCTTTATATATATATTATGCATGTATGTACATATATTATATACTTTTTAAACAAAGGTATATTCATTTTACATTTTAGTGCCCAAACGTGGTATCTTTTTAGAGATATAGAGTGCCCAAACGAATTCAACAATTTAAAATTAAAAATTTTCAAGTTTCTGATTTTTTCCTTTGTATTATCCTAACTACCTATCCAAATCTATGCCAAATTTGAACTTTCTAAGTCATCTGGAACTGGGTTGGAATTTTGATCTATAGGTAAGTCAGTCAGTCAGTCAGTCATGTGATAAAAATGATGATTTTGGGACGTTAATATCTAAATAACGGTTTGAGGTGTGTTTATGAAATTTAGAGCACATATGTATCTCGTAAGTCTGAATATATGAGCCAAATTTGACATGGTTATGTGGAATATATTTTGAGTTATGAGGGGGTCAAAAGTGGCTCCAAATGGTTCGTGTAATATTACACACGGTGCTGCTCGCCAGTTCTGTTAGCTAGAACTTGGCTTGACACGCTACCGCGTGTCTAGATATTAATTATTATTATACTTAATGTTAGGTATGTACTAAATATTTAGTGGCCAACAAATTTGCAAGCAACATCGATTGCTATTGTTATATATAGGTATTCATCATTTTATGTTTACTGAAAAAAAATGTATAGGTGTCCATTACATACGGCGCCATTATACTTAATACACTAATAAACTCTTAGGAACACATGAAATATAATCTGTTTTTACGTAAACGTACTCGTTTATGTGCAATGCTTTTAAACCCTTTGTAGTATTATGTGACCGTAAAATAATTTCCGGAATCATATAAGTTTGTATTACATACAGAGTGATTTTCTTAACAAAAAACACTCTTTGTTCGAAAAAGTATATTCGATAATATATTATGTTTAGTCTTTAAGTACAATAAGGTGTAGGTTTTTAATAATTTACGATTTTGAAAATTGTAAAAAGCGTAATTACAGTTGTAATATTTTAGGTTGCTCTATTTCCCTCCCCCTCTTGTTATAATGTTCATAGTTGAAAGTTTTAAACCACTACGGCTATCCACTTTTGGTTTTGAAACTGCAACCTACAATTATTTTTATTTCATAATATTAGGTTATGAGATATTATATATATAAAATTGTATAAATTAGGCCACTATAGTTATCTATTAGTACTTAAATCACTCCCAGACATAAGGAGGACGGTACAAAAATATGTCAGATTACATGTTAACGCGTGTCTTAAATTTTCCAAACATTTTCTGTAAGATCAATATTTTTCTAAAGCATAAGTGCTCTTGCTGTTAAAACAACAATCCGCTTTATTTTACTTAATTTCAAACATCATTTATTTTGTTGGGTATTTAATAGTGACTTGCCTTTCAACGATTTTTTTCCAATCGATCCCTTTGAAATATGACTGACAACAACACTATATGAGGTACCGGTACTTGTATTTCATGGTTCGCTTGATTTTAAATAAAAAAATAATAATAATTATAGCATCCAAGCACCCAATAACACTCATGCGTGCAGTAAAGGGCTGAAATGTATGTAAACATTGGGAAAAGGCATTTATACCTGCCTAAGTCTTTTACGGTTTATATAGGCAAGTGTGTGCCCTTTGTAGCTCTTGAAATAAAATATGGGTCTCTCCGCGATCGTTTGACGATTATTATTTTTACGATTTGTCAACGTAGGTCCGTCCGACCCAGTCTTATATACGCCATATTATAATATTATATTATTATTAAAGTGGCCCGCAATATAAGATATATATATATATATATGGTCTCTATAAATGGACGCGAACAGAGCATAATATAATCGATTCTCTGTCGAAACTCGAGTTTATATGGTTACGATATACCTATGTAATAATATATGCATATAACATTACAGAAGTAATAGCTTTTTTCCTCTGTCGCGATGATCG